CCTGTGGAGAAAACTCATTCCAGCCGCTTGTATCTGCATTCCCATTCTTTCGATGACTTGTGACCAGGTGAGGGTTGGGATGTTGATGGACTTCCGGCTCAGCTCTCTTCACCTCGACAGACCAGTAAAACGCCTGCTTCACTGCAGACTCTGCACCAATCAGCCTATTGAATTTATGCTCCATCTTTCCCTCCTTTGTGAACAAGACCTCTCCACTTGGGGAAGGACCTCATCACTGACTTGGAGAAGGCGTTCCACCCTTCTTTTGAAATGTCTCAAAAAAAAAAATAAGAGGATGAAGTTTGGCAGGGGAATTAATTTTCTTACAAAAGCAGCTTAAATGACAACTCAATTCTATCCTTGGAATTTTAATTTGAAAGATTAGAGATTTTGGATCGATCCCTAAACTGACATCACCGTTTCAGGTGCAAACAACTTTAAACAAGACAGCACTCATATCCCAGCATGCTGTACCATCACAGGAAACAGAACATAAAAACAGTGATTCACAGTTCTGAAGTGTTTTTGTCCCTTAAAACCTGATACCATCCATCTACCTCGACCACCTCCACATGGCTTTAATGCTGCACTAGAGCTTGTTATTAACCACAAGACCTTCTGACAGATTTATTCCCATCTTGACAAGAATCTCTTGTGAAAGGCTGAATAACAACATCACAATGACACCTGCAGTCCTCTGGTTGGTTTGTCTGAGATAAATATACTGCTTATTGAATTTTTCTTCATAACATCCATCATCTGTCATTTCTACTTGTGAAGTTTTCAGACCCACGGCTAACTTTTCATCAACATTCGCATCGTTTCTGTGTCTCACATCAAAGGGCTGCCTCATGTTTTATTGTGCTCCTTTACTTCGGTGCATAGGCAATTCCATTTTCTCTTTGAAGGTTTAGTCTTGGAATTGAGAGTGTAGCCTCACGGTAAGCCAACGTTTGTGGCGGTGATCCAGATTAGGCTTGAAATCCTGCTCGTTCATCTTTTGACATCTTCAGCTACAAATACCAGACTGAAACCCTTCACAGCAAGGAAACAATAGCTTACAGATGCCAAGGTGACCTAGGAAACGTGAAAGCAGACAATGTACATGCAGATCTGCACAGTTCAATTCAATTCAAAAATACTTTATTAATCCCAGAGGGAAATTGATTGCTGTAGTAGCTCAGAATAATATTAATAATTAAGTCATCAAAGTGTTATTGTATATTACAATGGCTGTTGGCAGGAAGGATCTCCAGTAGCGGTCAGTGTTGCAGCCAAACTGAAGAAGCCTCTGACTGAAGACACTCTTCCGTTGTCGGACAGTCTTGTGAAGAGAATGCTCAGGGTTGTCCATAATTTCCTTGATTCTCTGGAGAATCCTTCTTTGCATTATCTCCTACAGTGGTTCCACAGTCGTCCCCAGAACAGAACCAGCCTTTTTTATTAGGCTGTTGAGCCTTTTCAGGTCCCTGCTTCAGATGCTACTACCCCAACAGACCATGGCTGAAGAGATTACACTCTCAACAACAGACTTGTAGAAGATCTGCAGCATATTGCTACAGACATTGAAGGACCTAATCGTCCTCAAGAAGTGCAGTCTGCTGTGTCCCTTCTTGTAAACGGCTTCACTGTTCTTTCTCCAGTCCAGTCTGTTGTCCAGGTGTATTCCTCAACCACCTCCACTTCTTCTCCCATGATGGAAACAGTGTTTGACTTCCCTCATGTAAATCATTAGATTGTCTGAAAAACAAAAGAAAACCAATGAACACTGTGAAATTCAGATTTGCAGAAGTCAAAGTCTGCAAAATGAGTCAAGCATGTCATTATTTTCCCATTCTGTTGTTATGTAAGTTGTTTACTGACTGCCTTTATTTTACCGGATGGGGCCTTTGTCATACGCAAACAACGATTCATCGTCTTCCAGATTTGGTCTACTTTCATTTTAAGATTGGCATGTTTGCATGGATTAAATAACCTCAAGGGGGTGATTAGCCAACACAATAGTAAAAACAAGTGTTTAGTTTTTTTAAGATGAGAGAGGGAGAACAATGGGGCAGGAAGGAAAGGCTCCATGTAGTAGAAGCACTGAAAGAGTCTAGTCTCGTCTAACTCTGGCAGAGCTTAAAGACTCAGATCAAACTGTTACTCACTTCTGGTTCACTGTGCATGACTGGTCTAATTTGGACAAAGTGTGCTTGTTACAGATTAATCCTAACAGCAATTTCATAAACACACATTTACCTTGTTTTCTGACTGGTTGGTTGGTTTTTATTGGCCTGCTAGCAACAGTTTCTATACGGACTTGAGGAAAGGCCAACGTGTCACCTAGAGAGAAGCCAGCTGTGGATGCACTTTGTTCAAACAGAACCAGAAAACATGACTTGTTTCCTGTGAGAAAAACATAGACTGGGAGTTGTTTACTTATTAAGAAAGGAAGCGTGGATCTTCTTGGCTTGTATCCCAATCGACTCAGATTCAGAGCCTGAGAACGGATCCTTGTATCCAGTTCAGAGGGACCACCTCAGGCTGGAGGAGGATCAGCTGAGAATCAGCATGTTTTAAATGAAGCAGGTGGGCTGCAACCAAAACGTTTATATGTAAAAATGGAAAACTCAGTTTTTATAAAAGTATTAATTATTTACTTCAAATGATATTGGTCAAAATAAAGTTTGGTGATTTTGAACAAACATCGATTTTATTTGTTTTTGCGTGTGAACTCATAATGATCCTTTTATGCTTCACACCTTGGTTGATCGGCTAAGAAGAGCTCTTTGTCCAGTTCTGTGTTATACCAGTCAGACCAAAAACCCGTAGACTCATTCATCATGAGAGTTCTTATCAGAGAAGGCGGCAGGTTATTGTTTTGTCCCAAGGCTTACAGTCTGTCAAGTCCAAGTTCCAGACTTTCAGTTGCAAGTCCTAAAAAAGGTCATGAAGTCATGAATGCTGCTGAAAATGTGTTTAGGCTATATTTGGGATAAGTAGGAGCAGCCGCAGCTGAACCTGACAATAAACAAAGACGTCATTATGATGATGCATTTCCATTTTCATGTTTGCTGTATGAAACAAGTCAGCTTCAAGTCAACATGCTGACGCCTGAGAGTGAAGTGAGTGGTGTTAAAATCTGAGGCAAGTTTTTTTATTTTATTTTATCAAGTCAGGTCTGAAGTCATCAATGTTGTGGCCTACATGTCAGACTCAAACCCAAGTCTTGTGGCTCAGGTCTGCACCTGTGGCACTAATCCTCTGTATCAGAGACAGGGATGTGCTGTTGTCCACAAACGGAAAGCAAAATGTATCAACTGATTAGAGGAAAATGTGAGAATTAGAAGATAAAAATGATTTAAGGCCATGATACTGGTTTTGTATTCTCTAAAATAAGATCCTTATCTGACATTTTCTCAAACACTCAGCAGGAATTGAGCCAGTAAAGCACTTGCTCCATTCATACTGATAACCCAGACAGGTCATGTTTACATGGCGAGGCGTGCTTCAGCTTGTTGTGAAGGGAATGTGAGCTATGTCTCCAGCTCTGCTGCCCTAAATGCAGCAGATGGTTGTCTGATCTCAGGTTAAACCTGGTGGCTTCGCCTTGCTTTATTCTCTTTATTTCTGACAGTCAACATGGTGTTGGTCAGTGCAACAGGACGACTCGTCTGAAGTGTCCTCTGACTGAGTCCTTTGCGTTCATGTGATCGTTACGGTTACAAGGTCAAAGAGTAAAAGATGAGGAGAACCACAAAGAAAAAAAGGACTGACACTTTAGCTCATCAGAGGGGATCAGATGGAGCTTTATGCTAACTCAAGCTAACAGAAGGTTTTAGTGAGGGAAGAGCGATAAAGCAACTCCAAAATCAACTCAAAGCGCTACTTTGTTTCTGTAATCTAAGCGATGGCTCTGATGCTCACTAATTATTCAGAATTTCAAGCATTTAATTACACGTAAATGGAAGCATTACAAAAAAATTCACCCCCCCTCAGAGTGGCCATGAATGGCTTTTTGAACCAGGCTGTAAACATGTTAATTTCTGTTGTGAAATTGACATTTTTTAACACGGGAGTCAATAGGTGCTTTTATAGGACACACCATGCTGCCATATTGACGTAATATTACCACAATGGTATGTCTATAAACGTGCCATGCCGGCATGGCGTTGCGCGAATATTGCGGCATTCGTTCTGCCTCGTTTGGTAGTAATATTGCCCCATCAGCCCCTCGCCTCTGACGGCTAAACGCGTGTCAGAAGGAAAGCCGGCTGGACAGACGCGGAGACCATGGAGCTTTTGGCCGTGCAAGTGGACAAACAGATTAGTCGCCTTTTTACGGGAACGGTGAGAGACAGCCAGCTGTTCGACAGAGTGGTGAAAACACTGGCTGAGCAGGCGTCAAGCAGGTCAAAAAGCAGGTCACATCAAAGCTAAAGGTCCTGAAAAAGAAATTTCATCAGTCTGACATGTCTTCCATCTGATGCGACTCTGTACATCACATGCGGTGACCTCCCTATATCCCGTCTTGGTTGGAGAGGTGCCTGATGTCAGTATATTCTAGCTTCAGCTTTGCTACTATAAATGCCAAAATCATCCCCAGGGTGCCGAGGCAAATCCCGTTTCGAAAACGCTATGGTCCTGTAAAAACAGCTATTGAAGATTTGCTCATTTCTGTTGCCAGCCCCTAGCGGATGAAAGTGGAACTGCAATTTTGGGCACTTGTTGGGAGAAGGTCTGGATTCGCAGGGGTGACCCCTTGCCAAAAGTTTGGCACTTCCATGTCAAGTGAAAAGATTTTCTGAAACAGTGACTTAGCAGCATGCTTTTGCACAAACTCATCACTACTTTGTGCTTTAAAATACAATCAATCTGTTTTTACTGTTGTTTGGTTTCTGTCTATCCTGATCAGAGGTGACAAAGGAAGAGTTTTGAGAATCTGAAGCCAACAAGAAGGTGTTCTCTGTGTTTTGATCTGGCCTCCTAGTGGAAGGATGATGACATTTTAACATTTCTGTTAGAATTATGTGGACAGAGATATTTGTATTAAGTGGAAAAAGTTGATGAAGTAGCAAAGACATGGCTTGAAACACAACATTTGATTTACACCCATTAAAAATGAGCCACATAGCTACGTCGCGACTAGCTGGAGCATCTTCTAACACAAGAGTGGTCGTAATCTACTGGTAAAAGGTTTAAAAGCAGCATTTCTTTTGAAAACTCATCATAACCTTAGGCAGCAGAATTTTGTTTAATTATGCTGCATCTGCTAAATAAATCTCACATTTGTCTCATCACCAAATCAAACAAATATTAGAATTGCAAATAATTTTCTTTGGTAACTGCCTCCTTAATGCACCATGGTGATTAGTTACCTGATTGCACAACCAGCTGACAGCCTCATTGGAAGGTTTCCATTTTGGAACACTTCAACACGTAATCTGCCACTAAAGCCTATTAGGCCAGACGTTGTTTTCGACAGCTCTCTGAGAAGAAGTCTACTTGTAATGGAACTTCCTATTCACATTATTATTCAATTGAAATGTTGCGTAATATCAGAACTTGGCCAGATTTAAGTGCTTAGATTGGCTCAAGATAGAAGTTCAAAAATTGCTCAATTTCCAGCAAACAAAACAGAGATCCATTTCTGTGGTTGAAGCAGAATGAAACACAAACAAAGAAATCTCTAATGTCAGAATGGTGAAAACAGGCAGCAAGGTCAGTAGTAAATCAATGTGTATATCTCAACATAAATTTGGGAGGTATTTTGTCATTTTTATGAGTAATTACAGACAGTTACAGCTAATGTTGAACAGATTTACACATATTTGTCTTTTTTTTACAAATAAAAATATGTTTCTTTTGCACAAATACAACGCAAATTTTGAATAAAGCCCACTGTGCATGCTAACAAACACAATACATATTGAATTATATACATTTATTCAACAAATGTGTTCCTATGACCTTCATAGTTCCTTCAGGGTCTGATGGATTTGATGATGATCATCATGAAGAGGTGCAGGAAGCTTTTTTTTGTCTTGAGTGCAAATGGGGCCAAACCCAGAGCCCCCAATGGTGCAGGACGGCAGAGAAAACAAAAGAGGAAGAAAGCTGACGTGTTCAGTGTGGAATGTGCGAGCTTCTATCGAATGTGATGTGAAAGTCATGGGAACATTGTGTAAAGGTGGTCAGACGCCTCCAACAGTCAAACTCATCAAGCTTCCTGCTCTCTCTCTCTCTCTCTCTCTCTCTCTCTCTCTCTCTCTCTCTGTGTGTGTGTGTGTGTGTGTGTTATCCTGCTGCTGCAACATTAAAGACAGATTATAAAAGTGTGGATCCTCCCTAATTCTATTTTTGTTGTTCCTTCACTTTTCTGTTGCTTATCGCTCTTCTACTTATTTTTTTTCTGAGTCAAAATATTGTTTATTGGTTTTTGCATTAACTGATGATTTGTGTTTCTGAGAAAACAAACCCAAATGGAAGTGCTTTGGTTGAGTGGACCGATCTGGAAAAGTGCACCTCCAGCTGTCAGTAACTTTTATCTGTGTCAACACTCCAACAGGAAGGGGTGTTTAGCAGCACAGCAGGGAGACGCAGAAACTGGCAACAACCTCAAGGTTCCTGGAAAACTCTGCAGAAGCGACTTCTAAAAGTCACATTAGGATGCAGAATTTTAGATTTACCCTATTTTCTGTTCCATCATTTTAATGAGTCTAATATGTCTGTCGTGTTTTCCTATTAGTTTTTCTGCTTTGGGACCTCAGGTGTGTCCAGAGACACAGAATCCCTGATTCACTCTGCCTGAGCGGATGCTTTAGGAGAGTTCTCCAGCTCTCTACAGTAACCAGTGCTGTCAGTCGGGCTCCGATTGGTCATCCTGGTGAGCAGCGTGGTCCTGCGGATGCTGCTGTCTGAGTCCTCCTTCTTGTAGTCTGCGTTCAACTTGAGACAGCAAGAAAAGCAGTGCAAAAAATCTTGGAGGAGGTGACCACTAAATATCATGTAAATCCAGGGGTTGCAGCAGCTGTTGAGACTGGCAAGAAGTGCAGACAGAGTCACTGCTGTGTTCTCAGATTCTGAGGAGAGAAAGAGAGAGAGAGAGAAAGGAGAGAGAGAATGATTCATCTGCAAAACATCTGGTGAAGGCCAGGCTGCAGAAGTCTGTGTGCAGCTCTTCTGCCGTTTGGGAGCTTAGGTGTCAGATCAGCTTAGAAAAAACTACTTAATGTACTTGTCTGATAATAAAATGTAATATATTTGCAGTTCAGTAATTTAGAAGTTATCTGCCTGCATCTGTTATGGATGTAAGGAGAAATAAAAACTAACAGTATCACGTTAAATACACAAAATCCAAAACAAGAGAAAAAAGGAAAAAATTCTGTTTTATTTCATCCGAAATCAGAGGCTGTCACTGTTTCATTAACAAACTCAGTGTTAAGATAAACGTTGACTGAAGAACTTTATTATAAACTTGATATGAAATCGCTTCTTCGCATAATATTGATGCAAAAATACTCTTTTTAGCCATTTAAGTCCGTGCGTAAAAGCCGCGCGCACTCGGATGTAACGCGTCTGGTTCTCCAGCACTCACCGTCCCACTGAAACTTTTCATCCCACACCGACCACATCTGCACCGTGAAAAACGGCGCCCAGCAGATGATGTACGCCAGGACGATCACAAAGGTCATCTTGACGGTCCTGAGTTTGGCCCTGGAGATGGTGGTGACGCTGCTGACGGAGTCCTTCCCGATCAGCCCGCTCATTCCCGCAGCTCCGGCCAGCGTCTTCCTCTTTTTGAACTTGATGTTCTTCCAGATGCTGTGGCAGATGAAGCCGTAACACATCATGAGGATCACCACGGGCACGAGGAAGATGCTCACGGTGATCCAGCTGATGTACGCCCGCCCGCCCCACGGCTCGATGAAGTTCGCCCAGCAGTCGTACACGTCCGAACCGTTCTTGATCTCGCTCAGGGAGAAGATGAAGTACTGCGGGGTGCTAAGCACCAGGCTGCACACCCACGTGGAGATGATCATGATGTAGGAGCGCTTGGTGGGCTGCTGGAGGGTCTTCAGAGGGTGGCAGATGGCTATGTAGCGGTCCAGGGTCATCATCACCATCATGTAGGTGGACGCAAACATGCCCATCACCTGGAGATGCTTCACGATCCTGCACAGAAAGTCTGGCCCGTAGAAACGGAAGGTGATCTCCCAGCAGAGCTGCGGCAGCACCTGGAAGAAGGCGACCACCAGGTCCGCCAGGCTCAAGTGTTTGATGAAGAGGTGCATCCGCGACATCTTCTTCTTGGTGTTGTACATGGCCAACAGCACGCTGACGTTCCCGATCACAGCCACCACGAACGTGATACTCAACACCATGATTTCAATCTGGGCCACCTCTTCGTTCCTCGCGAACGGATCCGACCCGTTAGGGTGGACGGTGCAGTTTCCAGGAGCTCCCATCCTCAGAGTCTGGTTCTCTCCGCTCAGGAGCCGCGCGTCTGCGGGTGTGCGCATGGCACTGCCCCTCTGTGCGCCCAGCAGCTCCAGTGCCAGAGGGGCCGAGTGCGGCTCTGATCCGTATAAGGAGCTACCTGATGCTTCCAGCGGGAGACGCGCAGCTCTGTGACTCGTGGCTGCTGCTGGGGATTCTTAAAGCAGGATCAGATTTCCGAGCGGAAACGCACTGAAAAATAAATAAATAAATAAAACCCATCTCTGAGTTAAAATCAAAACTTTCCCCCAACAACAAACATTAACAGTTTTATATCCAGTTTTCAGACTTTAAAATGTATTTTCATTCATTTTAGTTTAACATTTATTGAGCTGCTACGTTTTTTTCCCCACAGCAGCAGAACCCTTCCGCTGGCTTTAAGCAAACTCCACAGCGCGCTTCTCACTCAGAACCACGTGTTTTATCCATCATTAAAAATGAACACTTTTTACACAGGTTTTGTCGTTTTGACGTGAATCTGTATTTATGAATATTATGGTTATCTGATGCAGATCAGACCTGCAGCTACAGGGAATATCTGAGGAGGGTCTCAGAGCAGAAGCAGATGAATCATGACTCGGGCTATTTTAAACGAGGGGCTGTGATTTTTTTCCTCTGGTTGTAAATAAATACATCATGTGTCCCTAATGCAGATCAGCTTCATCTCTTTTGCACCCAGTCTCACAGCATGGTTTTAGAAATGACATTCAGTTTATGCCTTATTCAGAATTAGTTTGTTGACATTTTCTAAAGCTGTTACATTTTATTTTATTATTTGAAATTTAAAAGCAGTCCGGAGGAGCTGGCCCAAGTGGCTGGGGAGAGGGAAGTCTGGGCCTCTTAGGCTGCCCCCGCGATCCGACTCTGGATAAGCGGATGAAAATGGATGGATGGATGGATGGAAAAGCATTTTTAAATAATTGAATTAATTAATTAATTAATTTCATTTTTAACTACTAAGTATTTTGGTTTCATTTATCAAGTTATTTATTTATTTAAAATTTCAATTGAAAAAAATCTAAAAACTTTTTATTTAGCAGTTAACCATAGGATGTACTGTTTACTGTCACGCGTGCCGGTGAAATGAAGCCGAGGTGAGGTGAGGATCCAGACCGGGGAGGAAACAGGCAGACAGGTAGGCTTTCTTACACTGATTTTACTACGAGACACGCTGGACAATGAAACAATGGACCGACACAAGACACAGCACAGAAGGGGCTTAAATACACGAGGGCAGGGAGCTAAGGTGATTGGGAAAGAGAGGCAGGTGGGAGCAATTAACGAGACACAAGGCTGAACCAAAACGGGGAGACAGGACAGGGTGTGACAGTCCCCCCCCCCCCCCCCCCCCCCCCCCGACACCCCCCCCCCCCACCCCCACCCCACCCTCAATGGGCGTATCCCAGACGCCCACAGGAACAAGGAGCAGGGCGGGAGGAGGGGGACCCGGAGGGAGGGCCAAGAGGAACCAAGGGACCAGCAGAGTCTGGGGGCCTGCGCCTGGGGCAGAGGAGGAGGAGGCGACGGGCCCTTGGAGCTCTGCGTCTGCGGCAGAGGAGGAGGCGACTGGCCCTTGGAGGCCTGCACCTGTGGCAGAGGAGGAGGCGACGACGGGCCCTTGGAGGCCTGCGGCAGAGGAGGAGGCGACGACGGGCTCTAGGGGGCCTGCGCCTACGGCAGATGAGGAGGCGACAACGGGCTTTTGGGGGCCTGCGCCTGCGGCAGAGGAGGAGGCGACGACGGGCTCTTGGGGGCCTGCGCCTGCGGCAGAGGAGGAGGCGACGACAGGCTCTTGGGGGCAGGCGTGAATGGCAGAGGAGCTCTGCAGGCTGGGCCGAGGACATAGTCTCTGCAGGCTGGGCCGGGGACATAGTCTCTGCAGGCTGGGCCAGAGACAAAGCCCCTTTGACGGGCTGGACCGGAGACAGAGCCCCTTGGACGGGCTGGACCGGAGACAGAGCCCCTTGGACGGGCTGGGCCGGAGACAAAGACCCTTGGACGGGCTGGGCCGGAGACAAAGCCCCTTGGCGGGCTGGGCCGGTGACAAAGTCTCTGCAGGCCGGATCGGAGCCTCATGGAAGGGCTGGACCGGATACGGTGCGACCTCCAGAACCACCACTGGAACCGGAGATGGCGGAGACGTCGGACCAGAGGGAGCGTCGACCTCTGGAGTGGAACGAGCGTCGACCTCTAGAGTTGAACGAGCGTCGACTTCAGATGAGGCGTCGACTTCAGACGTGGCGTCGACTTCAGAGGTGGCGTTGACTTCAGATGAGGCGTTGACTTCAGATGAGGTGTCGACTTCAGATGAGGCGTCGACTTCAGATAAGGCGTCGACCCCAGATGAGGCGTCGACCCCAGATGAGGCGTCAACCTCAGATGAGGCGTCGACTTCAGATGAGGCGTCGACTTCAGATGAGGCGTCGACTTCAGATGAGGCGTCGACTTCAGATGAGGCGTCGACTCCAGATGAGGCGTCAACTTCAGATGAGGCATCGACCCTTGGACAGGAAGAGGCGTCAACCCTTGGACAGGAAGAGGCGTCGACCCTTGGACAGGAAGAGGCGTCGACCCTTGGACAGGAAGAGGCGTCGACCCTTGGACAGGAAGAAGCGTCGACCCTTGGACAGGAAGAGGCGTCGACCCTTGGACAGGAAGAGGCGTCGACCCTTGGACAGGAAGAGGCGTCGACCCTTGGACAGGCAGAGGCGTTGACCCTTGGACAGGTAGAGGCGTCGACCCTTGGACAGGTAGAGGCGTCGACTTCAGAACACGAGGAGGCGTTGACTTCAGAACACGAGGAGGTGTCGACTTCAGAACACGAGGAGGCGTCAACTTCAGAACACAAGAAGGCGTCGACTTCAAAACACGAGGAGGTGTCGACTTAAGAACACGAGGGGGCGTCAACTTCAGAACACGAGGAGGCGTCGACTTTGGAACTGGAAGAGGCGTCGACCACAGGACAGGACTGGGCGTCGACCACAGGACAGGACAGGGCGTCGACCACAGGACAGGACTGGGCGTCGACCACAGGACAGGACAGGGCGTCGACCACCATCGACTTCTGGTCCGGAGGCATTGGCTTCTGGTCCGGGAGTGTCGACTTCTGGTCCTTCGACTTGTGGACCGTCGACCTCTGAGCCGACGGCCTCTGGACCGGAACCGGAACCGTCTGCTTCTGGTTCGGGGGTGTCGACTTCTGGTCCGGGGGAGTCGGCTTCTGGTCCGGGGGCATCGGCTTCTGGTCCAGGGGAGTTGACTTCTGGTCCTTCGACTTCTGGACCGTCGACCTCTGGACCGCCGGCCTCTGGACCGGAGCCGGAACCGTCTGCTTCTGGTCCGGGGGTGTCGGCTTCTGGTCCAGGGGAGTCGGCTTCTGGTCCCTCGACTTCTGGACCGTCGACTTCTAGACCGCCGACTTTTGGACCGGAACCGGAACCGACTGCTTCTGGGCCAGTCCCGTCTACATCCGGGCCGGTCCCGTCTGCTTCTGGGCCGGTACCGTCTGCTTCTGGGCTGGTACCGTCAGCTTCTGGGCCCAAACCGTCTGCTTCTGGGCCCGACCCGTGTGCTTCTGGGCCGGATCCGTTGACGTCTGGAGTGGAGGCGGAGCAGCTGCGGGAGGGGCTGCCTGGACAGGCTGCGTGCGAACTGGCGGTGCTGGAAACGGAGCGAGCAGGGAGGATAAACTGTCCAGCTGAAGCTCCCGGAGGCTAAGGGCCCGATGGAGCTGGGCCAGCTCAGCCCGGAGACCGGCGAGCTCCGCTGGGTGTGATGAGGAGGATAGAGCATCCAGGCGGGATTCCTGGGAGTTGATGAGCTGGCAGAACCAGCCAAGCTCCGCCGGGAGACTGACAAGCTCGGTCAGCTGGGCTGCGGCCAACGCTCCTCCCCCTGTAGATGACGGAGGCGCTGATTCGGCAGGAGACGGGACTGCTGGTCTGGCCGGGGGCGTGTCCAAACTGCTGCGCCCGTCAGGGGCAGCGGCGAACTCACAGCTCCGTCCCGGGACACTGGATCGCGGTGGAGTCCGGCGTCTTTCCCCACGCCGAGGACCGACTCCGGGGGAACAGCCAGCCAGCCTTGTGCCCTCGAAGCCGGAGCGGTCCAGGAGCGTCTCCTGATCCAAACTCCCATCCGGTTCCGGAAGGGCGGCGAGGATCGCCGAGGCTGATGGTCGGGGACGTCGGCGGCGGCGAGGCGGAGCTGGGGCTGGAGAAGGAGAAGCCGGCTGGTCGGTCGGGGTAAGCCACCGGAGCAGGCACTCCCACGGAAGAACCTCCCCGCTGGATCCTTTAACGGGTCGGTCCATTCTGTCACGCGTGCCGGTGAAATGAAGCCGAGGTGAGGCGAGGATCCAGACCGGGGAGGAAACAGGCAGACAGGTAGGCTTTCTTACACTGATTTTATTACGAGACACGCTGGACAATGAAACAATGGGCCGACACAAGACACAGAACAGAAGGGGTTTAAATACACGAGGGCAGGGAGCTAAGGTGATTGGGAAACGAGAGGCAGGTGGGAGCAATTAACGAGACACAAGGCTAAACCAAAACGGGGAGACAGGACAGGGTGTGACATTTACCACTAAATGGTGTATTGATCACACACAGGAACCAGCCACTAGGCATTTGCTCACATCCCATCTCTGATGAGGCATAGATATATTTATTACATGGCTCACTCACTCACTCACTCACTCACTCACTCACTCATTGTCTTAACTGGTTGTTGCTCAGTTGGGAGCCAGTTATCAACTCCAACAGTCATCAGGCCAGATGCAGGGGACATCTGGACAGGTCTCCAGTCCACCACAGGGAGACAAACATCCATTCACACACTCACATTTTAGAGTAACTTATTTTCTAAAAACCTGGTTAGTAACCTTGTTAGTGATCTACCTAGATAGTAACCTAGTTAGTCACATAGTTAGTAGCCAAGGTAATAACATAGATAATGACCTAATGTGCATTTTTGTCAGTGAAACGAAACTGGAGAACTCAGAGAAAACCCAAGCATGCAACTTGGATTCAAACCTGCAACCTCAGGCAGCAGTATACTACCAACCGAGCCCCATGCAGCTCATTTAGGAGATGAATGTTACAAAATCAGGAGTTTCAGACAATAATAGCAGCAGCAGGATAACATATGATGCTGGGCACATCTTCCCTTCAGAAAAGTTTCTTGTTTATTTTTCCCAAACATCACCCAGCTTGAGCTGTCAGCTCAGCTCACCCACAAGAGTAAAGATGTTGGTTTATGACACTCATGACGTCCACATAAATGACTTTGCTTTAATTGACAAGCCACAGACCTCGGAGCAGAACAGCTTTAAAAATACTTTCCCCGTGATGGTGTACAAAACATTTCCCACAGAGAGTTTGAAAGTTTTTTTACAC